TAGTTTTTGCTATCCCCTACAATGCTACTAAGAACATTCTCATACAGGCTTGCCAGGAAATCTATGCAAGTATATCTCCAGGGCATGAAATGTCTAGGTCAAGGGTGTAAAATATTCAACACTACTTAGTAATGCCAAAATGTTATATTAATTTACATCCCCACAAGATGAATATAAGTTTATTGCTTCATATCCTTGCCGATACTTCATAGTCATACTTTTTCTCTGCTAATGTGGTGGCATGACAATGATATCTCATTATGGATTTAGTTTGCATTCCCCTGACTCCTGGTGAGACTGAACACCTTTTCTCTTGTTTATTGGTCATGCATATTTCCCCTTCTGAGAAATGGCCATTTTAAAACTGAGCTGTTTTTATTGTTGATTCATAGTGGTTCTTTATATATTTATAGCAGAGCTTCTTAAATAAAAATATGCCATTAGAAGACCCACAATTCTTGAACCCTGCTATTCCAGAATTACTCTTTTGCTTATTCAGATTAAAATTAATCAACACACTCCGTTCTCTCCCAAGCAAATAGAGATCAAGAGTGGCACTTCCTCGGTTTTGAGGCTCAGGACAGGGCAGTTAGCCAGGCTGTCAAACCCATATCCTTCAGAAGCAAGAAGCCATTACTTACCATGAGGGGCATGGTGAGGAAATGCCATCCTGGGGCCCCGTGGAAGTTGGAGGCATAGAGGAGAAGCTGCTCAGCAGGTGTGAGGGAGTCACAGCTATTGACAGATAAGCATCACCAAAGCCGGAAAAAACACCCAACTGTTCTTTCCTCCCACCCTCTGACTTCTAGCCAGAGTCTCCCAAGAGCTACATCCAAGTGGAAGCCAGCCAGGGAGAGATCCTGGGTGACGCATTCCCAGGGTTAGCTCCCCAGGCACGGGGAGGGCAGCCAAGCATGGAAAATGGAAATGGCGGGGGCGGGGGGGGGGGAACAGCCAGCAGGGACCACCAGGACAGTGGGGTAAGAACCACCTGAGATTTTTTAATAGGGAAAAGGATAAAAGGAAGCTCTCACAGGAAGGCTGCCAAGCCTTAATCATCAACGTGTGACAGGGATCATTCTCAGCATCTTAGCTAAATTAGCACGCACAGTGAACTTTAAATATAATTCACCATATAATAAATAAACTGGTCAAGTTTAATTACACCAAAATTACATGGGAAAACTGAGACATTTTGAAAAGTAACAGCATGAAGGAAATATCTCCATATATCTGCCTGAGCCTCAGTTTCTTATAACAGAAAGAGAATATTATCCACCTTATGAGCATGTTCTGAGGATTTAATGAGAGGAGGACTATAAAGTGCCCAGCACAAACCCAGAACCAGGAGGCATTCAAATGTAGTTTGTCACTATTGCCACCACATGTCATTTTACTCACTGTACCCTGTTGAGCGTTGCTACCAATGGCACCTACATCTGTGTAGGTTTCCCATCTCGTGGCCCACTGCTGACAAGTTCTGGAATATTCTGATCTTATCCAGAATGTTCAGCCTATGTATCTGCATAGGCACATAAAAAAACCATACTGGCACACCAGCATTTGAACAATAGTTCATAGACACAGAGCACTTCCACAATCATTATTGTGCTAATTCTTAGAGTAACCCAGGAGTTAGTATCTGTTTTAAGTTAGGGAAACTGAAGCTGAAAGACACATGACCCAGACTTTGTGACTCCAAAACAGATCACAGCTGTCTAGACTCTTACTGCCTCATCATGTCTGTCCATTAAGTGTTAAGTTCCATGTCAGGATGTATTTTAGAATCGACCACAAAAATTAATGTGGACTTTAGGGTGACTCGAGTGCTCTTTAGGAACTTTACATCACAAGTAATTTCTGTGGTTTATTTTATCTTTTCTGTTGAAAAACTGCTGAAGATCTTGGAGAGTGTGTATGCATCTTTCTTTTATCAGAAGAGATACAGACTGAGGAGAAATAGGGCCCTACCTACCCTCGAGTTGTTCTGATCTGACTCAATCCATAGGAGAGCCTTCTCAGCTTCGGGGATGAACACTCACAGATGCCCAGTCCCCTCTGTGGTATCACAACCCAACAGGCATGGCAAGCGGGACTCCTTCCATCCCATCCCATGATGGGTGAAGTGCCCTTCCCTAGTACCAGATCTTTAAACAGAAAGAACCAGGCTCTCCTCTCCCAGTCACTCCCTCATTCAAAGGAAATACCTGAGACCTGAGGGATGGAAAAGTAGTGAGATAAGAAAAAGAGACTATTTTCCAAGCTTTTCGAAGCATCACAGCATGATGTATTGCATCTCTGCCAATTCATATGTAATCAACCTATGAAATTATACCGAAAAGCCAAGGGTTAGAGCAAACACCTTTGCAAACGATGGTGCTCTGTAACTTAGGTCCCCTTCTCATTGCTAGGAAGAAAAATAAAAGAGGGGAAGGACAAAGAATTGAAATATTTTATTAAAAGCAATTTTTAAAATACAGGCCACTTGACTGGTAGGGTTGGGACCTATAAGGTTACATGAGATCGGATGTGGCAAAACCACATGGTCAGGCTGCTCTGGGAGGAAGTGGGGCACAGTGGTTTTGAGCAGAGCTTTGGAGTCCAACAGACCCGCTCAAGACTCCTGGTGCAGCCACTCACCTACTGTCTGGCCTTGGACTTGCCGGTCAACGTTCAGTTTCCTGTGCAATATGGTACTCACAGTGTGGCTACCTACACACCACGTGGTGAGATCACACACACACTCAAGTGCTTAGCACAGGGCCTGGCACATCCAAGCTCTCAACAAACTATAACCATTGCGATGCTCTCTGCTTTCTTGTCAGCCTAATTTCATCACACTAGCTTGTGCCACTGTATTTAGATAGTCAGTATAAAGTAGAACAGAATAGGATGAATTACTCAACCACTCAACCAACTCCTTAATGTAAACAAGAGCATATTTAATGTTGCTACGCGAGATGGTTAAGAATCAACATACAATAGTCCACAAAAAAGGTACTGCAAGTTTTGAAGTGTAAGAAGCATATGCCTGCATCTAAGCAGGAGAAAGAAATACACAGTCATGTAGAGCATAAACTGCATGGATTCCAAGAAAATGGCCTATTTTCACTTCTTACCCCTGCACAGCTGGTGAGGGTCTGCTTCCTTCCTGTAACCGCTTTGCAGCACATCCGTCCAATTCTTGACTTTCTCTCCAACTCAATTCAACACGACTTTGTTTAGCTGCCTTTCTTTCCCTGAGCTGGGCCCTGGGGACACTGAAATGAACAGGAGGTGGCTCTGCCTTCAAGAACTGTAGTCTAATAAGGGAGAGGGATGCTGACTGGCTTCAATTTATGCCAGTTCCTATCACTGGGGAGAGTTTACATGTGGATTCCTATTCTTAGGTGTAGGGGTTCTCAGAGGGGGCCTTTAAGCTTGGCTCCAGCCAACAGGCAGATGGCTCACCTGTGTGTCTGCCCAGGTGAAGGCAAAGTCACCTGGCCTCGCCCTCTCTGGCCTTCCCTGGTAATACCACTTCTGCCATGGAATCACCTCCTCTCCCCTCTCTTAGAATCAGGTAACTAGGCCTTCCCATTTTCAGATCCTGGCCCCCTATCCCCCAACCCCCGCCAACCAATCTCCCTTCAACAAGAAAGAAAGAAAAGCTTGGGGAAAGCCAGTTGTAATGATTAGAAATTGATTCCTGCTATTGTGTTAAATACCCTCCACCCTAAAGACTGACCCTGAAGGAAAACCTGCACATGTTCCTTAAGACCGCTGGCGATTGATGGAGAAGAGGAGGAGGGTCAACAGGGACACTGCGGAGATGAACTCCCATCGCCTCACCTGCCTGGCCAGCTTAGAAGCCCTCCAACCCTCTGGCTGCCCAGCGTGGAGAGCTGGATATGGTAGCTCGCAAATTAAGGCACACAGGTGATACTGAGGAGAGGATGAGCTGTGGGCCTGGAGAGCTGGAGATGTCAGGGTGAAGGCAGCTATGTCAGCCCCAGGGAACCCGGGCCCCAGAGACGAAGACCCAGGTCCCAGCCCCTTTATTGGATGTCGATGAGCGAAGAGGAGAAAGAGAAGGCAATGTGGAGACAAGCACACGTTTGATTTTGACATTGATTAGCGCTATAAAGAACTGACCACATAACAAAAGTCTAATCATAGTCATTACGCCAACTGCTCACCATTGGTGTGTGATGGCGTGTTACACCCTAACCACCATGAGCTGTAATAAACGTGATTCAGAGTGGTTCTAGGTTTCATTTGATTGGGTGAGTAAACGAAACACCTGGGTTCCAGCTTTTGCCATTTCTGAAGCGACATAGTCCTCTGTTCTCAACTTTAACATGATCAGTGCCATTGCTTTTAAGCTATTAGATAGAATGGGGGTGGGCGGTGTTCCTATTTACTCAGTATCTCTCCTGATAACTTTTATTATCTAAGCAATTGCTGTACAGTTTTCCTGTTCCCTGTGCTTGAAATTTGTGATTTTTTCTGCTCCGGTGTTTCATATTCATGAAATTAGTAAAAGTTACAAATTCCACCTTTATTCCCTGACACAGATACATAGACACCTAGATATCTTCCCAATGATTCTGATTAGATCCTAAAATTAATAAATTATGTTGCCATGCCAGCTCAGGTTAGAGTTCAAACAACAAATTTGCTGAATTGCCATCACAGAAAACCGAGTCTGGTCTTTCACAAGACCTACAACCAGCTAGGAGTCCCAGGGTCAGAAGACGCTGGCGAAGTGCAACGGTCCCCAAAGTGAAAGTGAGACGTCCTCGCGTCTGCTCCAAGCTCTGCTGCTATCACTTAGAGCAGTCTGATCTCTACCTGAAAGATGTTTCCTTCAGTCTGTTTTGGTGAATGAGACGGGACTAGTTAGTGCATAATTGGAGTTCATTAGGTGAAAGGCTATACCATAAATAAATGCTTTTAAAAAAAATAATCACAGAGACATATGACAGCTGTTTAAAGTCAGTAGGCAGTATCAAAGTATCTTACTGCATTGACATGTATTTTATGTACAACTCTGAATAAACAGTGGGTGGGAAATTAGTTGCAAGAATCAGTTGACGGTTGTTTTAAAATTTGATTACCTAGTAAAATCTAGCAGGCAAGTGGTCTCAACAAAATGACTACTTCAGGTGAAAACAGTACCACTGCAGGCATGGCACAGCCCAGTAAGCTCATTTCACTCACACATCAGCTGGTGTTTGTGAGTAGGTAGGAAGACTTTCCAAGTGTAAAAACTAATTATATCCAAGAGCTATTCATTTTGTTATTATTTAAATAAAATGTCTTTAAATACAGAATGCTTTGGAAAACTCACTTCATTGTCCAAAATTATGGAGACCACTTTGGTTTTTTTAGTTGAAGATGGAGTATTCATTACAGTTGCTCAAGGCATCGTCTAGTTGGCAAGGGCAAAGAGTCCATTTGTAGAGTGTATTTTGTAAAAACATCCAGTAGCCAAGTCTCATCAATTGTATCCGAAAGGAAACACTTTTCAGGAAGGAAACGCTGCTGTATCCAGAAAGAGTATCAATCCTTGCTGGCTTGCAGGCTCTCCCTGTCTCAGTTAGTCTTTGGGCAGAGGAAATGAGTGTTGGGTAAAGTCTTCGGGGTTTAGAGGATCTTGCATTCATTAATGGAGAAGAACCTCCTTCTGTTGCGTCTCCTGGCTTGGTTGACAGCAGTTCGGACGGCACACTCAAATACCTGCTGTACCCCCCGATTGCTGAGGGCTGAGCACTCCAGGTAGCCCTTAGCTCTCACATCCTGGGCCAGTCTCTTTCCTTCTATGGCATTGACGCAGGAGGCCCTGTGGGGCCCCACCTCCCGCTGGTCAGTCTGGGTGGCCACCACCAGCACAGGGGTGCAGGGCAGGTTGCTCCTGACTTCACCGATCCACTTGTTTTTCAGGTTCAGGAAGGAGTTATGGTTGGCCACGGAGTAGCACATCAGTACCACGTCCGCCTGCTGGTAGGACAAGGGCCGGATACTCCTGAAGGCATCGTTGCCGGCTGTGTCCCAGAGCCCCAGGCTGATCTGGATGCCGTCCATGAAGACGTCCACGCCTGTATTCTCATACACCGTGGGCCTGTAGGCCTCCGGGAAGGTCTCTGAGGTGAAGCGCACCAACAGAGAGGTTTTCCCCACTGCAGAGTCTCCCACCAACACACACTTGATGGAACTCAGCATCTTTTCAGCCTGGGTTCCTAGTTACAGTTCAGAATCCCGAGGGAAAGAGCCCTCAGTGGGCTGCTGGGGCAAATGCCATTCAACACAGGGAATGAAAGCCAGATGGGCTTGTGTGTTCTCAGGACCTCTGACAGCAGTTTGCAGAATGTCACTTTGCCCGGTCCATCCAAAGGAGATGCACGATCTACTCTGGAAACCTCCAAAGGCTAGTCTTCAACTGGAACAGAAAGAGAAGGGGAGAAATTGAGTCTTTTTTCCCTTTCTTGATGATGGGCAGCTTCATCACTGGAAAACTGATTAAACAGGGGGGCCTCCTCAGTGGAGCCGTCCGACCCCACTTGTCTAACTCACCCTTATCCCGGCAGTGAAAGCTTGGACCTATTATACCCCAGCACTTACACCCACAACCCCACCCAGTCAAGAAGCAGAAGCTGATCTGATCTCTAAAGTCAGCCTAGCGGTAAAAACACCAGCGACTGCTCTGGTGGCAACATGAAAAAGACCTCAACAGCAACCTGCTGTGTGAATGAGACGTGTTCAAACAGCTCTCTGTCAGCTTCTGCACCGAGAAGTGGGGACCGTGGCTGACAGCGGTCTTGGCTGCTTCAGTTTCTAGTGGATCCCAGCCACTTTGGGAACGGCAAGAAAGAGCAGTGTGACAAGCCACACATACTATAAACACTTCCCCTCATTTATCGATTAATCAGCCAGTCCTTGGTTTATGTGCTGAGGTCAGAGAGAAGAAATCACCAGAACTCTAAAAATTTGCTGTGGTTTTTCCCTTGAGGTTTTTTCAAAAAACTGACTACAGGTGTAACAGAAAGAGCAATGTCCTTGGCATTTTCTGCATCTGAAATCAGACTCCATCACCTGTACAACAACACAGCTTTGAGCACATTGCTTGATCTCCAAGCCTCAGTTTACGAATCTGCAAGATTGTTGTAAATTTAGGAGCTACTTCTCAGAGATGTTGTGGGGATAAAATTATTTCTTTTCTGGACAGCTACCTATGTATCAGGAACTCTGCTAAGCTCCTGGTTAAACAAAACAACTTGCTTAAAAGCAACCATATTCAGTGCTTGTCACTTGAACAGAACCACATAAACATGACGAAATCTGAATTTCATGAAAGAGTTAAGTAAATTCTCATTCACTGCAGGTGGAAGAGCTCCAGACTTGATGAGATCAGTCGTGGAGCTGGTGTCCCCGTCTGCCAAGGGATGTCATCACAAGGCCAGCCCAGCTTCAGACAAAGGAAATGTCTTTCAGACCAAATTTCAAAGTAAAGGTTATTAATACAATCTGGGCTTTTAACCTCCCCCACTGGCAATCTTCCTGACATGTCACATGTAAAGTAATGTAAAACAGACCTATATGTCTGCTTCAAAACATAATTTTTAAAAAACACTCCTCTAAATCTGTACATTCCCCTCCAAGACATTTTTATCTTTGTCAACCCACAGTCTGTTTAATTAGACATAATAGCCTTTGCAAATGAGTTAAATAAATAATTCACAGGATTTTCATGTATTCATTTTTTTACCACATATAAGCTGAGTGGCCTTGGTCAAGTTACTTAACCTCTCTGAGCCTTGGTTTCCTCATAAAAATGGAAAAACAAGAAAAGCATCTTCTTGATGAAATTACTATAACAATTCAGTATGTGGAGAGTCTAACAGCACAGAACCTGGGACATGGGATCTATGAGCAGGCACCATATTTTACTATTTATTTAAAATACCAAATATTGAATGTCCAAGCGAAGGGGTTGGGGTGTCAAACATTTGCCTGGAGTCTCTCTGAAGACTCACATCCAGTCTCTCTCATACACAGTGGTCCTGGACACCTCTTTGTCACCAGACCTTTGAACAAGGTCCCCTTGGGAGCTCATTTGGGTCTCAGGCTTCAGCTCCTTTTACATACAGATGACTTAAATGAAGCTTTTGTGACCCTTTGTTACTTAGTCCAGCGCTAAGGCCCATTAAGACATGTTTTAAGTTTGATTTTGACCCTAATGTAGCAGGAAAAACATGCACGTAGTCAGGCTTTCAGTTATGAAAAAAAATTTCTTCTAAGATATTGAGTAAAGCCAAGTTTCCTGAGTAAATATTGACAAAAGGAAGTCACTGGGGCAAAATTGTTAAGAACACAGACTATAAAGTCAGGTAGATCTGGAATTGCATCTGGGCTGACAAATGACTACCTTAGAAGTTTCTTAACCTCCCTAAGCCTCAGTCTCCCTCTCTGTAAAATGTGATATGATAATATCTATAACACAGAGTTGTTGAGAGTATTAAGTGTGCTCAGATGTATAAAATCCTTAACGTAGTACATAAAGTAAACATACTGTAAGTACACAGTCAGCAGGTAGAAAATACACAATAGTCCTCATTACTAATATCACTGTTAAATAGTAATTACTAAATATAATGATAAACATTATTAATTGTAAGTGAGGAATCTGAAGTAGCATTAAAGAGGTTTCTATGGCAAAGAGTGCTCTGTGTGTCTTATACCCAGCCACGACTACAATACGTATAGGCTACGAAAAATATATTCTTGTAGCATAAAAATAAGAATATGATACGGACAAAGAAATTTGTGTCTGCCTTTTGCTGCTCAGAGAGCTACAAAGATTCAGACTGGAGAAAAGGGCTCCACTCAGTCAAGTGACCTTCATTCCCAGCCAGCTGTGGCCCTACGAGGCACATCGTGTCAGTTCTCAAGGCCTCAGGTTCCCAAAGCGTAAAGTGACTGGTCAAGATTAACTCTCTCAATTAGTTTCTATCGAAACTGAGGCCAAAGAAGAAAGCCTTATTGCCTGCCACACGTATACAAGAACGTAAACCTCTGCACTACTCCACAGCAGCAAAGACGGATGATGAAACCTGATGACATGCACAGTCTTCAGCAGATGGCTAAATATGGAGCTAGGAGAAGGGGGTCAGGGGAGGAGCTCCAGTCTGGATTAGAGCAATACCCTATATAGACAGGACAGATCACCTTCAGACGGTGTGTCTCATGTGCCCACAGCGGGGCCGTGATAGGTCACATAATGTGTGTGGAAGGCTGATGGGCTTGATTTCAGTGGAATTTCACCTAAAGAGAGAGATTCTCCCTAAAAGAGCCTCTAGGGGAAAAACAGAAGAGGGTTTTCAGTGGTATTTTGCCATACAGAGGCGTTATAAGAGTGAGTTGAGATAGCATCGTGAGCGATGCACCGAGTGACCCTTTAGGACTTAAATCAGACTGGAATTAATGAACCTTCAATCCCAGAACCTCTCAGGTCTCAATAACTTGATTTCTCTTCTCTCTCTCCCCTTTCCACTGTTTTTACAGAAAGGATGCCTTCCCCAGGCCCTCAGGGTGCACACAGAGAGAGAGAGGGAGGGAAGGGAGACTTCATCTTGTAAAGGCAATGGTGTCATCCACAGCAAAGGCACAGAGGCAGGCAAGAGGGAGGGCTTAGAGATGAGGTGTCCTAGTCCATTCCACCTTCTGGAGAGCTGAGGGCTGTCCCATAGGAAGTCCCCCCATTTCATTTTAGCCTCAATTCTCATCCCATCTCATCCCAACAGATCCCCCACTCTTTATTCTCTCTCTCTCTTCAGACACACTCTGTGCTACTCTATTTATCTGGAAAGACCGGCTCTCACCCACTTCGACCGTCTCCAACCTCCTCCTGAACATCTTTGATGGCCTGACTCACTGCTGGACCAGGTGCCCCCTCTGTGTCGCTGTGATAGCCCTGCCCTCTGCATAGCCATCTTCACTCTGCTGAAATGGCTGGTCCTCCTGGGCTCCTCCCCTGTTTGAGAAACTGAAATGAGAACTGCCCTACCTTCCTCACAGGGAGCTTGTAAGCACCAGATGGAAATGACAACCACCCAGCAGTAAAGTGTGCCTGTACTCCGACAAAACGCTGTACTTTTGGGAACACTCTCTTGATTATCTTATGAGAAAGCCCCTCCAGAATGACAGAGCACAATATAAAACTATGATGAAATTATGACTCTAATTATTATTATTACACATTTTAGGTTATCTGGGCTTTGACTGAGGTAGCTTACTTCAAAATGCTGATAAAACCCTCATTTTTTTTTTTTCAAAAATATGAACCCATGGCAGTCATCAGCCAGGGACGGAGAATACATCTAAATGTCATCCTTCTGGAAGGAGTTTTGGGCAAAGGACCTGTGCTGGCAGCAGCCAATTTAATCATTAAGGAAATTGTTTCTGCTGCGAATCTAACACACTTAGGTGATTAGGAAATCACATTTCTCAGCAATTCATCTCCTGCCCGCGCCTTCTCTCAGCAACCCTTCCACAGCCTAGCAAGGACACCACAGCAAGAGCAGGCCCTGCTCGGATGACTGATTCCACGTCTGGCTTGTGGGGGTGCTGGGGGGGTTGGGTGCTTCATTTCGTTTCTTTCTCTTGCGGGGAAAGAGAATCAATTCAAAACAATCTTAAGCCACTTGATAGAGGAAAAGCATAGCCATCTCTCAACTTTATCACCCCAAATATTATTCACTTTTCATTCTCTAATAAATATACACTTGTGTATATCTTTTAAACTTTTTTTCAATTTAGAAAAATTTTTATTTTCAACATAGTCTACATGCTTGCCAGATTTTAGCTCAATAGCTTGCCATTGTTTCAACAATTCATAATTGCCCAGCCATTCCCCACTGTTTTGAGTCCTTTGAGCAGCCACTGAGTTAGTTCCAGTAATTCACCATAATTAACAAGTGTTATTTTATATATAAAATATATGTGCATATACACATGTATAGAAGTTATTTTTACATGAAACAATTTTCCTGGGGGATATAGTCACAAATGTGGCACTACTTGATCGATGGGTCATTTTGTGACTTTTATTTACATTATTGAGCATCTTCTAAGGACTGTATGTATTATTTATTGATTATTTTATTTATTTAAAAAAAAATCTTGTTTTGGGCTTCCTGCGTGGCAGACACTGTATCAGGTCCTGAGAGCCTAACAGTGAGCAGGACGGCTGCTGTCTTCATGGAGAAGACCATCTCACAACTGCAGAGATGTCGGCCAGTGAAGAATCTTGCCTACAGTCACACAGGGAGACACTGCTGGAGGCAAAGTTAGACCCAAATAGAGTCTGAACCCACAGCTGCACAGCTCCACGTGGCACCCACACCTCATAATTCTCATTGTTCTATCCAACGCATCTCACAT